GAATTCCACTCCCCCCACTCCGAGATGCACGTTATGGAAACAACGTGCAATCGAGCTAGTTTGCAATCCCATCTGAACCTTCCCCATTTTTATAGCCTTTATCGTTGAAGGCTCTTATCTTCTTTCTCAAACATATTAATTTCTATGTGAAAATTAATGATTCTTCATTCACAGAACACAAATTTAGAAAGAACTTAAGTATGGAATTATTTTTTTTTTCGCAGAACATTGGCTTTTTCTACATTAGTACAATATCCATTCAGTGAAGCATAAACAGTGAGAGATAGATGTGAATATGACTTCCTGGCACGCCTTAAAGCCATCTCTTTATTTCTGTGAAATGAAGCATGCGCTCCAAATCGGACTGTGAAAGGAAAGAGGGTTTTTTGGAGTTCTAGAAAACACCATCTTCTTCAAAGGAGACGGTAGGGAATGGCGTGGCGTATTATTCTGCTCTGAACGTCAGTCCGTGGAAATCGCTTGAAAGCTGGAATTTAGCAAACAGAAAAAAGGCCTTTGTTTTGAGAGAACAAAGGTCATTGGGATTGATATCCAATCAAAATAAATGAAATTGGAGTGAGGAAGGCTGCTTCCTAAATGTTGCCGTAACGTTTGGGGATTAATTTACTTACAAATACTGTAAGAGACTTCTGACCCTTCGCATACTGAGAATGATCCATCAGAAAATCTGCATGGCGTAATTTTTCATTTTCACTGTTCGTGCGATATTTATTTGAAGAGTTTTCTTCGAAGATAAGCTCTTCTTGTCCCCTTAGAAACACATTTGCATAGTCCATGAAAAATGTAATTTAGTTTCATATTGTTTGTGTGCGAAAGGAATTGGACGATAACACTTCATGTAAATATCGGATAAAAATTTCATTATTCATCGCGTCGTTAATGGTTTCGACGCGACGACCGCTTCCCGGCCGCTGTCTCCTCGGCGGGATGAAACCAAGAGAAGCAGACGCCACTTTCTTCGTCATTTCGCGACTCCGCGAAGAAATGTTTGTTTCAACCTGGACTTGGTGGATTTCTTGTCCCCTTCGTATGTTTTGAAACAATCAAAGGATTCATTAGGCAACAGTCATTTTGCATCAAGTAAAGTAATACGTTTTTCTTATTGCTATTCAGTGCATTGATGTTCATTTTTTGTTAGATGTGACGTCACTTATCGTTTCTTTAGACACTTCCTACTTCAGGGAAAATAGTTATTTTAGTAGTGGCAAAATTGTAGAATTACTCCACACATTTGTTGCAAATTTATAGATAGTACGTGCCTGTGGAAAAGGTTAAGGAACTGCGATTTAGGGCTACCAGAATTTGGTGTTTGTGGTTTGTAACATAAGAAGCGTGTTTTAAGGTGAGATATGACTCCAGCTGTTAAAGACGTGAGAGTCAAAATCACTCAAGTACATTCTGTTATGTGGGTAGTTTATACCTAAATAGGAAAGAGACATTTTAAAATCTTAAAAACAGCGTACAAACTATATTTATTGTTCTGTATTTGACCAAGATCAGTTACAGACTCTAGAAGTACGAGTGTGTTCCGTTTGTTTTTTGATTAAACTGTGTGAATGGAAAAAACCTCTTGCAATGAAGTTTGGGTTCATTTGATTTTTCGAGAGCCCAATGATCATGTGACGACCAGCTGTAAGACACATAAACACTTACTCAAAGAAATTTGTACTGTATACCACTGGGGAAAAGAATGTTCATGTCACTCTGAATCAACCAGAAAATATTATTCTTTGGCCTCTGCACAATAAACTTTCTTATTGGACACTACTGTCAAATCTTTGCAGAAAGATAGATATACTATATATTTTTCCCATTATTATAGTCGCAAATCTTTTGGATGTCAGGGCCCCGAATAAGAAACCTACTTTGTGATTCAGATTTGAAACAACAATTAACAATGTGGAACTAGCAAATATTTTTCAGATATAAATGATGGTTTCCTCCATGGTATAAACAATCAAAATTATGAGAAATTGGTTCTTGATTTGGTTAAAGTTTACCAAGCTCCTGCCTGCCGAATGTCATTGAGTTATATTTCCTGAATTTCCAATTTGAAATTTTGTCCTGTTTTTTAGAAGTTATATTGGTGATTCTATCTCATTAAATCTGAAATTATGATTCAATCTAAGTAATATGCGATGGGCAGTAATTCTATACCTATCAACAATGACGCGATAAAACTTTTCTGTAGACTACATCAATTTCAGCACCCTCAGATTTGTAAAGTACACTTATTTTCATTACTGTTGCAAAATAAAGGTTTTATTTATAGCCTCTTATGTAATACGCAAACGATATATTTTCAGTGAGAGAGAGAGAGGGAGGGAGGGAGGTTTAAGCTGCCCAGAATTGATTAAAGGCAGTATACCTGACACTAACAAGATAATGTACTCCAGGTGTATCGCCAGTTTATTCGTAATTAAAGGCTTCTTTCACAATGGGGAATGGAGAACTTCGGTAATATTCTTGTACCCAAATATGCATGCACACCTCCAGGGAGGGCTACATTCTCATCTATTCTACCCTTTTTACCTTCCCTGATTCTGTTTTATAATTTTAAATTGACACGTATAGAAGGAGTTGTTTAGGTTATTGAAGAAGATAAGTTGTTTGAACTGTGTGTTGTATCCTTTCTTGTCTTTAAGAAAGGCCGTGTTAAGAGAACTCATTAGAGTATTATTATGTTACCGAACGTCCCAGAAAACACATATGCACACCAATCTAATTTTGCCCATTCCCATTTATATAAGTATTTTAGGACTATCTACTTTCTTGATTCTTAATTTTACAATAAATTTTTAGGTCTTTATTTACCCATTTTTAAGATCTCGCAAATCCAGGTAAAATATCTCGCTTAATAGTCAAGAGATGAAATGAATTTCCTATGGTGGGTCAGACATCGTGCGGCAAATGAAATAAATTAATGGCCGTAATAATAATGATGATGATGATAAAGGTTAGATTTTATCGATAAAGACAAGTTCGCAGAGAAGCGAAAAGACGATAATCCCGACATTAACTCGACTGCCTTTTTGAAAGCAAATGCTATGCTCAAGACAATGCTATGCTCAATTCCAATCAGGTCGCAAGACTGCAATGAGAATTCTTTTACAGTAAAACGGAACTTTTGTTCGTTGCACTATATTTCTTTTAACATATGGCATACAGAAGCAAAACGATTCTCTGTTTGACCAACATTAATAACATACGTAATCATTCTACGGGTGTTCAGTCCCAACTTGTGTACTATTATATTCGTACGATCTGAAAATTATTTCTTAAAATTAAATTAAAAATACTAAAAAGGAACAGCCAAAAACTCGGTAAGATTATTCCCAAAGCTTTCGCAAATTTTCATAAACTAAAAATTTCTTAGATTATTGCCGCGACATTGTGAAGCAGAAAATGTGAATTCTGGCAAAATATGTTCAAGTAAGGCAAATAATGTGAAAAATCGTGAATATTGGTTAAAAACTGAAACTTATTTTTACCCGTTGTCTTTCTGTGTACTCGTATATCTGCTTAGTAAAGTACAGGAATATCTAAGCATAGCAATTTCTAATAAAAGTTTGAATTTTCTCTTGAGTAAAAATAATACTAAACATATATATTTTGTGTTTGATGTTTTAAATACTCATTTTGATCAAAATGTTTCAATCTCATTTCGGAGAAAATTTGCCGAAACATCTAACTCAGGAAACCTGTTGTTATATTTTTGAGACGAAATATACTGTCTAAAAAATTACTTGATGATAGATCTATTATTTTCCATTTCTGTTGTTGTGTACTTGCGATTTATGTAAAATTTCTCTTTTGTTTTGGTTATCATAGGCATTCGTCGGGGGAATTAATTAGATGTGATACCTTGTTCGGATACTTAATATTAAATTATTCAGAAAACTTTATAAATTATGCTGGTTCAGAATATAGAAAAATCTCTAACCCAACTCAAAAATACTTTATCCGAATGTGTGTTGTGTCTTCATGTAGACTGTGGGTTTTTTCTCTCCCTTATAACATTTGCATTAGTGAAGAGTTTTTGATTAACCTCCTTCGGCATGGGAGTGACATATGCTTCAAAATGTTTTTTAACCAAAGCCTAAGTGTTCTATTTAAAAACATAACCATCTCATATGAACGTCTTTTAGAGCCTTATCCAATATTTTCTTAGTCCAGTTTCCTTCGAACCATTGATCAAATTCTGATATGGCCACTTGTTTTGCCTCTAGACATAAATGTAGCTTCACTATTGGCACGAACTGTTAAGCTCTTCTTTTGCGTGAAGTGGTAGGAGTAGAGCGGGGGTGTGGGTTGCAATTTTGTTAGCAATACTACGAAATTAAATCTGCAGTTCTTTTACAGATGTAAATAAGTTTTCTACTATTCGGAAGCGAACATTTCTTCTTTTTTTTAAATGTTGCTAATATCGCTTTGAGAATACTTTTATTCTTTATTGAATTATGTTTAGTAAAAAGGTTGAGGTAGGGTTGCTGGAGCACAAAAACAAAAGTGCGCGGGTAATACTTATTCATCATGAATTACATACAGTCTTTACTGTTCTTTTAATACAAATAAAATAAATTTAAAACGGCAATCTACTTTTGGTTTGTTAATGGAAGAATAATCTTGTTCATTGAGTAAAATGAACACAACTTTTCGTTGTTCCCTAAATTAGATTCGCTTATCCATGAACCTGTCCATTCGCAGATCTCAAGAACGATGCACCGTCCCCGCAATTTGTTGAATCGGGGCAGTGCACTCACCTATTTCCTGAGTGCACCTCGCATTTTCGTGGCAGCGTCTTCTTTTATTTGCCGGGACGTGTGTGTATTCGTGTGGGGGCTGTAAAAGAAGCGAGATGGGGAGGCAACAGATGCTCTGAAATGCGCACACGCGAGGCTATTCGTAGACGTAAATAAACGGCCCACTACTGCGGCCTCCAGCCAGTCAGACGTCTCGTCGCGTCGATTGACGTCATTATGAAGGTGAGAAGATACCTTCGGGATATAAGAGGATAAGTGATGGTTTGCTAGTACGATTCTCGACTGGTTGCAACAAAAATTTGGGAGTATTATAAGTCTAATCATATAGTTAATATTAAAGATATAGATAGAGATGTTAACTGCACACCCTTAAAAGCAAATTTATTAATTTTCAATAGATCTTTGGAATAGAATTGGTTTTCAAAAATTTCAGAAAGCATTTTGGCGAAAAGACAATGCTGGTTCAGTAATGTGTTGGGAGGTAATGAGATGTCTCAAACTAGGCTCCGTTTCTGGGACTGGACCTGCTTGGCCCACTAAGTAAATGCTGGCATGCTCTCTTTTTACTTCCGGAAGACAAATTATTAGTAAACAAGCGCTCGAGTAATCTATAGCCTTCCATTAGTCAACATCAGTCCATTTCGCCGAATGACTAGTAATACTTACACGATGTATTTATTTATTTTTACAAAGTGGATAAAGCATTCAATGTTATTCATATCGTACATCTTATTTCAACACTATAGCCACAGCAAGTATCTCGCTACGTAAATGGTAATATTTCTTTTTGGTGAAAGTGTGACTAATTTTTTGTTATGTACGCCTTGTTGATATTTATTAAGGTGATATTACGATGAGGCATACTGCGTCCCAAATCGAGTATTAACATTTACGAGTATGGATAATAATGGTTTTAAACATAATATGAGCTTTGTTTTCGTTAGTTGATACAAACATATTTTTTTCGATTAATATGATGATTGTGACTTACAAAGCATGAAGAAGAACTCTACCGGGATCTGGGCAATATTATCTTTGTCAGAGTAAATAAATGTTAAAAAGTAATGCATCAATTAAATGTGAATTATAACAAAATAGACTGACAATGCACACTCAGTTATCTCCATTTTCATCTTTATAAATAAAATAAAAATAGGTATTTTAAGGGTACTATAGGTAATTTAATAGGTACTCGATATTTCTCATCATCTACACAAATAAAGCAATATTAACACGAAATACGTTATTCCTTTTCAAAAAATTGGAAAAGTATTAACGGAAAACTATTAAATGCCGACGCAGATACTTGGTGTTAAGCTTTTCGTAAGCAACAATTTTATTATTTTGTAGAATTGTTTTTAATTTGCAAAGGCTATAGTATACTTTATTATAAAATTTTGTTACATATCTTAAATATTACAACATTATTGTAAGTTTCCTTAAGGGGCGTACTCGCAAACCTTCGCGTTGCGTCTGTTCGCCGCAAAGCGAAATTGGGCGCGGCGGAAACTGTTGTGCCGCGCGTCGGGCGTTCATGCTCATCGAAAGCGTCGCGTTGCTTGGGAGTCTCTTTGCATTCTTCACGTATGGTGGTTTGTGAGTGTATTATGCGTTTGTGTGTATTCTATCTCTATGGTAATCTGTGAGTGTATTCTGCGTCTGTGTGTGTGTGTGTATTCTGCGTCTGTGCTGGTCCTTGTATGTAAAACGTCTATGTGGTCTGTGCCTGTATTCTGCGTAGTCTGTGTGTGTTTATATGCGTTTGTGGTGGTTTGTGCGTGTATTCTGCGCCTGTGGTAGTCTGTGTGTGTGTTTTCTTCGTCTGTGCGTGTGTATTCTTCGTCTGTGGTAGTCTGCGTATATGTGGTCTGTGCGTGTATTCTGCGTAGCCTGTGTGTTCTGCGGCTGTGCTAGTGTCTGTATGTAACACGTCTATGGTTGTCTGTGCGTCTATGATGGTCTATGATAGTCATCAACGTCGGTCTGCGAGTGTAATCTGGCTCCATGGTGATCTATGTGTATTAGTCTTGTAATTTTTGAAGTAATTTTTTTTTCATCTGCAACTCATTATTCATTGAAGGTGCATCAAGATGAACAGTATTCATTTTTTTCGCGATAGCGGCCACTGAGGCTGTGTCGTCTTCAGCAAACAGTATTCACGAACCTATCCCGTCCTCACTGACCCTGATTTGCCCCCTTCAAATTCCTTTGATGTGCGCATAAAACCGACAGAGCGCGACTCGCGCGTACGCGCTGTGCGGAGTAAACTTTTGCGAGCGTTCCCGTCCGGCGAACACGTCCACGCTTCAGGAAGTCAAATCGCTCGCAAAAAACTTCTGTTGTACGCGGCATTCGGCGTCCATCTTTGCAAGTGAACGTGGCTGGAAGCCGACCGTGGTCTCTCCCTGCTACCTGGCGGCTTTGGTAAGAGCGGGTTTGGAAGGATGGTGCGATATTTTCTTCTTCATCCCAGTCCCCTCCTCCTCCTTACACACGTGCATGCACACGTGTTGGGAAATTAGGACGTATCCGGCTGGAGCAGTGGGTGCAGGGGAGACTTCGATGGGAAAACCCTCCCTGCAAGTCGATATGTAGGTCGGCGTCTGATCTCACGTTCTAGTGGGCGAGAAATGCCAGCTGCAGGGATGTAATGGCCATGGGAGAGAGGGATCAATTGACGCGCCCGGAGACCTCAATCATTGGATCTGTGTTTTTTAGTGTATTTCAGCAGGCGAGTAAGACGAAAGTCCTCTGTTACAGGTGTGGATCTTCGGCGACGTGTGGTGCTCCATCTGGCTGGCGGTGGACGTGTGGATGTGCACGGCGTCCATCCTCAACCTGTGCGCCATCTCGCTGGACCGGTACGTGGCGGTGACGCGGCCGGTGACGTACCCGAGCATCATGTCGTCGCGGCGCGCCAAGCTGCTCATCGCCGGCGTGTGGGTGCTGAGCTTCGTCATCTGCTTCCCGCCGCTGGTCGGCTGGAAGGACGACGCGCCGCCGCCCGCGCCGCCCTCCTCCGCCAACGACTCGTCGCCGCCGCCCCCGCCGCCGCCGCCGCCCACGCCGCCGCCGCCCTGCCCGTGGACCTGCGAGCTCACCAACGACGCCGGCTACGTCGTCTACTCGGCGCTCGGCTCCTTCTACATCCCCATGTTCGTCATGCTCTTCTTCTACTGGCGCATCTACCGCGCGGCCGTGCAGACCACTCGCGCCATCAACCAGGTAGGGGTGTTTCGGAACGGTTTTGAAACCTCTATACTCCAATTTAAATGTAGTGTCCCTTGAAGGTCACGAGCTGGAAGGAGAGGGAGACACTGTCAACACATCAATCGGGACCAATACCAAAAATATAAGTCGTAACGAAGCTCCAGATTGGATTTCAGTGGCTCCCTGTTCTCCACATTAACTTAACACTTAAATCAGAATATACGCTCAACCACATTATTTTACGTTCCCTGTTCATAGTTAACAGTTGAAATTCTTTGACTTGCAACATTGGATAAGAACAGAACTACAAGCACTCTCCGAATTTACCTTTTTTTCGATAAGAGTTTCATTGCAGTAGATCACATCTTGACTCGTCGATGTTAAGCAGTATTGCCAACCTCACAGGCAGGAGCTAGTAACAGAGTTATGGAGTTGATGGTGTATTTAGTAGACGGAGAATACGTCGCATTAGCTCTACTTCGAATGTGATACATTTGAGAGAAAATAGACTAAATAACTAAAAAGCAGTAGTATCAATATGTAGATACAATTATTTTTCTGCTAACCAGCCTTTCTGGTCCTGTACTCCAATTACTTCCAAGTTTGGGTGACTGCTGCAAGAAAACAACATAAGCTAGCACAAGGTAATGGAGGTAATTCGAAATGTCGGCAACAAACTGTCACTGGGAACAGATATATAATCAGATGGCTAATATCAGAGGGGAAAAGGAAGAAAGTCGAGAAATTGAATTTTATAGATACTAATGAACTCCTTTATACCATTAGTAATCCTGTCTTGCAATGAAATGAAACCTCCAAAACGATTAGGAGTTGGAGATGTGTGAGCATTGGACCATGGGGAAGAGCGATGACCGTTATTTAGCAAAGCGGGAACACGAAGTTCGGGCAGTTTACTTACATGTACCGTCTGGAATGAATGAAAGAAATTGATGCGAAAAGTTAATTTTCCATTAATATATACCAGCTTAGGTGGCTCAGCGCATCATATGATTTCACTGCAGGGTCTCTGACGGGGAAGTAATAAGAGTTCAAGTCTCGACGAGGCCGGTTTTAGACACTAGCTAGATACCTACGTCGAATTCAGTCGCATTTTGGAGGAGAGTTCTAGAGACCGGTTGCCTGATAGGTAGATTCACGTTCTTTCTCGATCAATCCCCAGTGGATGCCAGATACGTCCCCTACAAATGGGCCACGAACCGCTCGCGATCTTTCTTTCCTCGTCCTAGTCCTATATCTCCCCTTACTTACACACATTTACTCTTACATATTCTACTCAACCGCGCTCGCCGAGAGACCAGTCGGGAAGTTCTCCCAGCTGGAGCGATACCCCGCTGGTGGTAGATTCCGGGTTGGGAAAAAATGCAAATCGTTGGGTAGGTCGGCGCAGAATCTCGGCATCCAGCATTACAATTACGAGACTAATGACATTTGCCGTTGACGCCCGAAATCATTAATCAATCATACCTTAAAATGTGAAAATACATTAATACAGACTTGCTGAAAATGAATACTGATTCCTATATACCATTAGTTTTTAAATCTGAAACATTTGTTTGGAGTGTAAGTTATTCTGAGGTTCGCCGTTGGCTCTCCTACCCCATTGGTGTTCTCCAGGCACCGAAATGGCTTGGGAATAAGTGTATAAAACGCAGATTTCTCGCTACGGAGTCAAACTGTTCTTGTTCAGCCCTTCACAAGCCGGCTGTTATGACTAATACGTTGTGTCCTTTGCGCGGGCGCAGGGCTTCCGCACGACGAAGGGCGGCAAGGGCGGCGCGTTCGGCAGCCGCTTCGACGAGCAGCGGCTGACGCTGCGCATCCACCGCGGCCGCGGCTCCGTCATGACGCACAGCAGCGGCGGCAGCAACAGCACGGCGACGAGCAGCGCGGGCTCGCCCAGCCTGTCGACGGGCGCGGCCACCGGCACGGGCCGCTCCCCGTCCGCGCGCCGCCTCGAGCGCAGCCGCACGCACGACCGCATCAAGATCAGCGTCAGCTACCCCAGCAGCGACGCCATCTGCAACAGCGACGCCCTGCTGCAGCCGCCCCCGCAGGCCCCGGCGCAGCCGCCACCGGCCTCCCCGTCGCCCAACAGCAGCAAGAAGTCCTCCTTCTCCTCCTCGCCGCCCGGCTCCGTCACGCACTACGCCGTGCACTACCAGAACAGGTACTGCTTGGTGGTGCAAGGCCGCCGATGCCGGGCTGGGCGCTCGTTTTCTGGATACGTCGCAGCAAGGGATGTTCACACATTGCCGGCCAAATTACTTCAAATTTGGCGCCTTGTTTTTTGTTTGTTTGTTTTTTAACGGAGCGTTTGATGTTCTTTGAAGGCGTTTCAGAGGAAAGGATTATACATTTTAAACTTGGCGCCTTCGAGAATTTTCCTCAAAAAGCCGCGCGAATTTCTTCTCTGATGATCAAACATTCATTTCTTAGTACAAAGTTCCTTGAAGTCGATTGTCAACTTCTTTCTATTAGTTCGGAGCGTCACCGAAAGATCGCACCAGCTCCTGGGCAACTCCCGCGTAAAAATTGGCATTGTCGAAATGCTAGGATTTTTCTATCGCAGACGCCTGCTCGCATTGTCACCTCAAGCTAATGCGGAAAGCTGAGTAAAAGCGTCTTGAAAGTCTTCAAGGTTCGATCCAGAGTGTGCCAGGCACTGGATGTAGTAGAAACACGAAGCAAAAGGCCACGGAATTTGTAAGGAATGGTTTAATTTCGTTTGGATAGAGGTAACTGTGACATCTTCAATACTCGTTAATTCTTTCTCCAAGTAACAATCTTTGTCAATTGTGTATCGTCTCTTTTCCAGAACAGTCTTGCCTGACAAAAACTACTGAGATAGAAGAGGCGATGTTCCGTTGCAGTTTCCATTAAAATCCTCTCCCAACTTTTCTTCGACCTCGTATTTCGCCGCCTGAACAAGGGATGCAGAACTTTCTTGATGTTCTACAGTGACGGATGCAGTAACATATGCGAAAGATTGCTTGATATACCAAGGATACCGTTCTATACGCTCACGTTTTCTTGATATTCCACAGCGACAGGTACAGGACTCTTCGCCAAAGGTTTAATGGTATTCCATGGCCAAAAGGTTTTATGTTACCCCTCAGCGAGAGACGCAGTGTTCTGCAAGTTTCCGAGATAGTCCGCAGCGAGGGGTGAGGACTGTACGCCGCAGTGTTCTTGATATTCAACAACGATAGGTTCGATATTGAATTCGCACATTTTCTTACTGCTTCATAGAGAGGAGCGCGGAACTCTATGTAACGTATTCTGGGTATTCCATGGCGACGTGTCCGTTACTGACAGTGCACGTTTTCTCTCTATTCCCCAGCGAGAGGCGTGGTGCTCTACGTGCCAGTTTTCTTGATTCTTCGCAGTGAGGAGTGAAGTAATATGCAGCGAGGATTGCCGTACTGAACGCGCTTCTTGACATTCTACAATTCATTCGCGAAAGTCTTCTTGACATTCTACAGAGAGGTTTGCTGGAGATGAAAGATGTCTCCACATTACGGCTTCAACGGGCGTGAGATCTGTTGAAGTGAACTTTGTATGCCGGAAGGCGCGGTATCAACTTACGTCCGACGTCGTATTTTTTGGAGTAATTGAAAAATGTCACGTTCACTTTCTCTGGCCGTTCTCCCTGCAGCGTCACAAGGATGTGGCCGACTGCAATATCTAGTACGAGTACTTTCTCTTTCAGTCGCCGAAAGCTCAAAAATACGAGTAGGTTGTTGAGAACATGGACGTGGGCATTTTTTCTTCGGCATTGTGTTATAAGTACTGAGGATATCAAAGTAATAAAAGCGTTACGTTCTAGAACTGACGTAAGGTCTTGGGAGGGAAGGAAAATGTCCCATTGCTTTCTTTTTAGCTTCAGTACAATGGGTTGTACAAAAGCCCTTTCTCTTAGCAAAACGCAAAATATAATATTTGCGCAATGTATAATATATTATAATATTAGCTACTTTGCTTATTTTCATGATTTCTCTATTACCTGCGAATTTATAGATATCAGACTGCAAAAATTATTAATTAGAAAAACAAATTCTCCCTTACGTTTTTTGTAAAGCCTTTGTTTCTAACTCACCAATTCTTCGCTATACAATAGAAGACCCCAGGATAAAATCCATGGAGACAGTGTTAAAATTAATTTATTGCTGTCTTGCACGGGAGTATTTTATTTCATCTTCGTTTGAGTGTGTGATGTTGCTTTTCGGAACACAGTTTTGAATCGTTTTGTTCAGCATCATTTTTGCTGCTGTTGTAGGCCGCTAGAAGAAACATTTTTCTCAGTGTGTATAATTGTATACGAGTATAATGCAACTAGTTCCTAATGTTGATCTTCATTTTATGAGTACATGTTTTGAAAACTAGTGATGTTAGGAGCGAGTTTTAAATGCAATAAAGCAGCATTATAAACGCGTTGTGTACGAATTTTTTTGTGTAACAACTTTAGTTGATGAGACAATAAATGTCAATTTTTGGGAAGACGTTTATTGTGACGTCATGGGGTATTTGACAATGTTCGAAAATACGATGGTCAGCTATTGGTTTACCACTACGTCCACTCGAATCTCTCACTACAATTGGCCGAATGTGTGAGAACACAATTATTCTGTGCCGTAAGATGTTTTTCGGCAAATACGCGAACACTGTGTCGTAAGAATTTTATGAAAGATATCTTAGAATGAAAAAGATCGTTCATATTGCTGGAATACAAAAAAGATTTTTTCCCGCTCCTCAGCGCGGCGAGCGTGAACTCCGCGGCGACGCTGGCGGCGGCGACGGCGACGACGGCACTGACGGCGTCGCCCAGCTTCCGCGCGGGCCGTGGGGGCGACGGGGGCGGGGGCGGCAACTGCCACCTGCGCGTGTCGGGCGCGACTCGTCTGTCGGTGACGCGGCGCAGCGGGCGGCGGCGCAGCAGCGCGGACAGCACGGCGCCGCCGCCCACGCCCGGCCCCGACGCGCCGCACCACAAGGACCTGTCGCCCTCGCCCACCTTCGACGAGGGCTCCGCCAACAAGCCCAAGCTCATCTCGCGCATGGGCAAGCGCAACATCAAGGCGCAGGTGGGTCGCGCCCTCCGGACTCAATCCTTCGGCGCTCCCGACTCAACCTCCCGACGCTCCCGACTTAATCCCCAGCGCCCCCCACTCAATCCCCTGGCGCTCCCGATTCAACACCCCGGCGCTCCCGACTCAACCTCCCGGCGCTCCCGCCTCAACCCCCCGGCGCTCCCGACTCAATACTCCGGCGTTCCTGACTCAACCCCTTACTCACCCGACTTGATCCCCCGGCACTTCCGACTTCATCCCCCGGCGCCTTCGACTCAACCCCGCACTCCCAACTCAAACCGGCGCCTCCGTTTTAGACCGGCGCTCCCGACTCCACTCGCCGCTCCTGACTCAACCCGACGCTCTCGACTCAAACCCTGGGCATTACCGACTCATCCCCTGGTGCTGCCAACTCAACCCCTGGCGCTCCCGTTTCGACACGCGGTGCTCATGACTCAATCCGGTGCACCTGACCCAAACCGACGCCCTGACTCCACCCTTTGTTCCTGATTCCACCTGGCGCTAAAATGAATTATTACAAAACTACCATCTTGTATTACTTGCTAAAATGATATACATTATATTGTTCGTGACTGCTGTTTCACTCCATAACTTTAATACTGTGAATACTGTGAATTTGTGTCCGTATTGACCCTCATTTCTAAAAGTTTTCGCTGTCTTAAACACTCCTTAAAAGTACCTATGCACACAAGAGCAAATAAACTTGCGATGTTGCCTCCCTAAAATATTAGACATATATAAAGCACATGAACAGGCATAAATAATTTGCTTGACTGAGATCGAACAACGCTTCTAGTATACACAGAGAGAATGTCGTGGAACTACCTAGATTTTTTATTTCAATGTAAGCCGCCTTATTCTCAATGCTTGCTTCCACTGAGCGTGGTTTCGCCGCATATCCAATCCCACATGCTTCCACCGGCCAGCGCCAGCGGGTGAGTTGTGGCTGGGGTTGGAGGCGAGGTGAGCGTTGGGTGAGCGCAGGTGAAGCGGTTCCGCATGGAGACGAAGGCCGCAA